ACCTTTTCCCACTTTCTTTTGTATTGCATATAAATGTCTCCCTTTAGTCTCATTATCCCAATACTGTTGCCACTTTTTAATCACTTTCTCCTTTATTACTGATTTTATTTCTCTTATACTATGTGATAGCTCAATTTCTACTATTTCATCATCTACTGCTTGCTTAGCTAATTTATCACAATCCAAGATCATGCCAAATCTTTAACAATCAAATCCAGCTAACTGAGTTAGCAACGTATGAAGAACTGGCCCCAGGACTTGCTGTCATAGCAACAGCTCGGGAGCATCTTATTTCATGTAAACAGGATTAGATTGCATATTTTTAAGTGGAATTGATATTTAAAATCTGTCCCAGCCACTGCCACTTTATTACAAGAGTACCCTACTGATCCAGGGACAGTAATTTACAATAATAATAATTTAAAAATTAATACAAAAAAATATTATAATGTTGTGTAGTCATCATCTATAACACTACAGACACAGCCAGGTTTACTAGTTGAAAAATGTATTCGTGATGAAATAATTACATTATAATTGTATTGGAGTCTTACACACATGCTGTACAGTTAATCTGAGCCGTGCATTAATTTGAGTGGTGACGGCTATTATGGGAGTGGCTCGATGGAGCGCAGGAGATGCAGATAACATGATCTTGACACTTAAGAAACTTTAATTAATGCTGTCACATTTATTACAAGAGTACCCTACTGATCCAGGGACAGTAATTTACAATAATAATAATTGAAAAATGAATACAAAAAATATTATAATGTTGTGTAGTCATCATCTACTATAGACACAGCAGGTTTACACGTTGAAAAATGTATTCGTGATAAAATAATAACTTCATAATTGTATTGGAGTCTTACACACATGCTGTACAGTTAATCTGAGTCCTGCATTAATTTGAGTGCTGACAGATATTGTGGGAGTGGCTTGATGGAGCGCAGGAGATGCAGATAACGTGATCTTGACCCTTAAGAAACTTTAATGAATGCTGTCACGTAACAAATCTGTTTGACAAATTTCTGGACCTTTATAAGGAAACAGCCAAGTGATCAAAACTACAAAAATGTTATAATAGATAACTGAAATGTGCACTGGTTTATTTTTATTTTACATGATTCTCAATTTGTATATTCACGTTTACTAGTATGTGTACAGGCTTTACATTTTTATTTCAATGTAGTAATTAGCAATTCATGTAATTTTATGTTTGAACAGATTTGTTACGTGACAGCATTAATTAAAGTTTCTTA